TTATGACTGAAGATTTGAACCTGTTTTGGAAGTAGCACCTGAATGAGATCTTAGCTGTTTTGACAGGGAAAACACTGATGTCTCATTTCCCTTTAGAAGGATTTTGGTTCTGCTTTGCTGCAGCACTGGAAGGATTTTGAAATATCAGACGCCTCTGTAGCAGGAAAAGTAATTTTTATGTTGAGCTTTGTGAATTGTTTAACCTCTCAGAGCTTCTACAGAGCCTGTAAAATGCAAGGAAGATAATTTTGTTTTGTTTTCTCAGTCACTGCCTCTGTTTGAACTTCAAGCTCTTTGAGATAGATATTTCTGCATGCTCAGTATCTGTTGTTATACTGTGCTGATTGGTTATTTTCCTGTTATTGTGTTGTGGAGAATCAACGTCAGGACAAATAATTGTCAAATTTTGTCCTCTTTCAGAAACACATTTATAGGGAATTGATGTTCAAACGTTGAAACCGTTTCCATCTCCAGCAGAAAACAGCGATTCATAATTATACAGGAATGTCTCAGGATTTGCATTTTAAGCACTACATTGTATTTTATGAGAGATATGAATGTTACCAGACCTTTGTAAAGCATGGCTGGAGTGTGGTGCTCGTGCAGCACTGGCAGCCTGCGGCGGAGCAGGTCCCCCACTGCAGTTACATGTCCTGCATAGGGAATTGAGATACAGGGACTTGGCTGAGGGCCCCCAGCAGATGATGCCAGAAAAGGCAGTTTGATCCAGGCTCTTTTAACTTGACTGTTTTGCCCTCTTCTTCACTCAGGGAGAAGGTTAAGTGTGAGAGACAACGCTGCGCCAAATCCAGCTTAAGCGGCTGTTAGGAGGCAGCAGTTGCAATAGAAGCCCCAGGGACCACTTTGCTCTGGGATTATCCTCCTGAGCAGTTTCTTTTGGAAAGTGTTCTGTGAACAAATTAGAGATTTAACTCTGAACACGAAGAATCGTAGAATAATTTTGATTGGAAAAGACCTTTAAGATCATCAAGTCCAGCCATAAACCAAGTCCAACTGCCAAGTCCACCACTAAATCATATCTCTAAGTGCTGCATTTACATGTCTTTTAGGTGCCTCCAGGGACAGTGACTCAACCCCTTCCCTGCTTGGCAACCCTTTCAGTGAAGAAATTTTTCCTAATATCCGATCTAAATCTCCACAGGCACAACTGGGGGCCATTTCCTCTTGTCCTATTGCTTATTACGTGGGAGAATAGACCGACCCCCACCTTACCACAGTCTCATTTCAGGTAGTTGTAGAGAGTAAGAAAGTCTCCCTTGAGCCTCATTTTCTCAGGGCTAAAAAACCCCAGTTTCTTCATCTGCTCTTCATAGGACTTGTGTTCCAGACCCTTCACCAGCTTTATTGCCCTTCTCTGGACATGCTCCAGCACCTCAATGTCTTTTCTGTAGTGAGAGGACAAAACCAAACACAGCACTAGAGGTGTGGCCTCACCAGTGCTGAGGACAGGGGGACAATCACTGGCAATGTAATGTATGTGATGCATGTAAGAGAGATGGAGCAATTAGATGGAAGGAGATCCAGGGCAGAAAAAATTTAAGGCTCAAAGCCCATCTGCATGCTTTAGAGAAACACATCCACTGTTTGGGACACTTGGCAAGCCTCAGGATCTTTTGGGTCCTTTCTCCACTGTCCTGGGCTGCACAGCAAAGAGAAGGCAGGCACTGCCCTGGGCTTAGGTCTCAACTGTCCACTATTAATTTCTGTACCCAGGGATGATTTTGCATGGGTCAGATCTTTGCTCTGGTAGCAGCAGCTGCTGCTGTGGGCCATCACCGTGGGCTGTGACTTTCTGCTCATGCATTTAAAGCAGTCAGGCAGTAACCTTCCTTGTTGGCATGGCAGGGCCTTTCACTGCACCAGTGTGCTGTGCACCCCACGAGGTGGGTGAGCCCCAAGAAGAGGAAAGGATTTGTTTCACAGATCTCAGGAAACTGCCTGGATCTGAGCCATTCATCAATCTGAGTTTGTGACCTTCTGTGGATATCACCTAGACAGTGTTTTTACTTTTTGTATCTTTTTCTAAATGTTTCTTGATGACAGTTGAATGGGTTGGAGTAGGATCAGAGAATAGTTTTCCTACCTGTAATTCATAAAATAATTGGCAAAACTTGTCATGAAGTTGGAGATTGTTATCAAAGTGTAATGGTGATGTGGGATAGAATCTGGAAACACTCTCTCCCTTTACACAAGCACACTGAGTCTACACAAACCCTGTTTTTCCCATTCACTTTTGTTTCCCTTGGGTTTTTTGTTTGTTTGTTTGTTTTCTGTTCTGCCTCCCCTTTTTCTGTCTCTGGTTTGAGAAAATGGAGTAATCCTTTGTTTCCAGGTTTCCCTCAGTAACCATGCAAACTTTCCACAAGTGATGATTGTACAAGACCTCACCATCAGAAAAAACACTTAAGACCTTACAGGATAGGTGTCTAACCTTCTACAGGTTTGAAAGAACATAAAAAGTAATTCGAGTTTATGACTTCTTTGAACAGATATCAAAAGAATAATTTCCAGATTTTTTTATATTATTTTTCTGGAGGAACCTGGGAACTTCAGTCAAAACTGAACTGATTACCTGTACTAATCACTGACAAGTATTGCTAGATGGTAACAATTAGCTAATAATTTGGTCATCACTAGTTGGTTTTTGGCTGTTTGTTTTGTTGGTTTTTTTTTTTTAAACAGATTTCCTCATAGTAAAGTGGTTACAAAATTAGTGCTAGTGACCATGTTAAATGTTATCAGTAGGACCAGAGAAAAGTGAGCATGCATTTCCTGAGCTGAATGCCCTTATTCTAGAAGATACTTGCACCCTTGCTGTCAAAACCTGTTACTTCATGTGGCTACGTAGATCGGAAGGGACTTTGAAATTCTCATGCATACTAAGACATGCTACTTTCTCTATTTGATTTTTTTTTTTTTTTAGCCTTTAAAGCTTGCAGAGTTATGAAATGTTATGAGACTCCTAAGCTTCGCCAGTAGGTACTGTAAGTTGGGTTTGTATATGTGCTCCTCAACAAGACAGCAAATGGAAATGTATAATTATAGACCATTGCAGCGTGGGGAGGGATTCATAAATGGCTGATCTGTAGCTGGGAGTGATTTTGAGGTGTAACCTTGAGACTGACTTGCATGCATGAATTAATTTTGAAGACTGAGTGAATAGCTGTTGGTAAGACAAGATGAAAAATGTTCTTGCCCTGCTGACTGACCTTCTGCAGATCGAGGCTGGTTTTCCACAGAGAAGTGCTAGCAAGGAGAATGGCTTATGCAATTTGTTGTCCTAATTTGCATATTTATTCAAGTGTATCTTCCCAGTGACCTCCTAATAGCTGAGCAGTGTCAGATGACAGCGCTTTTGCTGTTGTTGATGTTTTCCAGGGTGTCTGGCTTGCTTGTTCAGGAAACGGGAAGGGCCAGGCTGGGTTTCTCTCCAGGCAAAAGCAGTCAGTGGGGCTATAGGAAAAAAACCTTCTTACCTGGCTCTAAACCAGAGTGTTCATACATGTATCTTTAATTTTCTGGAGCAGAGCAGAGGGATCAGGAGAGATGGGCAGCAATCCAAGCGTTACCAAGGATCTGGGTCTGGCCTTGGTGAGAGAGAAAGTCTTTTGGATGCTCAAGCCAAAGCTTGTGAGACTCACCTGGCACTGATGAGGCTGGAGGACATGTCCCTTTTACCACTCTTGCTGGTTATTGATGACATACCCATGCACTGAAGCTGAGGGGAACAATTCTTTTTGCAAATAGTGAAGAGCAGCTTTCACAAGTGGCAGAGGCTCAGGGTGGGAATCAGAACTAACTCCCTCTCTTGTCACAGCTTTGCACTTTGGTGTTCCTGTCTTTAACCACTACCCTTAAATGAGATGTGCTGCTTCTTCATTATCAGCTAAGATTCGAAAGGAATTTGGGGTTAAGTACTTTCATGTTGTGCGAAATTTAGGGGGAGTTTTTGTTAATTCAGATGCTGTAGTAAGATGAGGTAGAAGCAAACATCTGGTCATCTGGCTTCACATTCACCAGCAGCTTAAAAGACCCAGGGATCTTTACCTGTTTCCAGATGGATTGTCTGCAGTTTGAGATTTGCTGTAAGGGTGATCTCTTTAATACCAACGTGTGATTTATTTATTTATATATTTTTAAATATTGTTCTCAATATATTCCTTTATTTATATTAATAAATAGGTTGTGGTATTCCGTCATGCCAGTTGGATATTTGAGAAATAATTTGTTCTTACCAAAATTCTGAAATATTTTGGCAGCTCAGCTGGATCAAAATAAATTTTGATTTAAAAAATAATGCGTGGTATGTTTACTTGAATCAAAATGTTGCAAAGCAATGAACTAGTGGATTAAATACAAATTTGGAAAAGCGATGCAATATAAATATACTATCTACACAGAATATTTTTGAGGACTAAATTTATATTAGGCTTCTGTTTGGATTTTACTTGAAAGCAGTACTTTTAAATACTTAGGGATTGTAATCTTCTGCTGGTATGTGACCAAGGCAAGTCTTCTGGGAAGTGCACTCAGCCTTAGAAGTAGTAGCAAGTGGAGCAGAAGCAGGCAGGCAGGAGCAAGCAAGAAACCACAATGTTTCTTTGAAGTCCACTTCTTTCTCCTCCTTTTCCCTTGTAAAAATACATACCTTTTATAGAATTACAGTATTATTATCCTGTACTGTAGAAAGAACTTTTGGTATCTTTTTAATAAATTAATTTAATGACAGAATAGATCTAGATAAGATATGAATATCTATGCTCAGCAGTTTTTCTGGGAGTAATGAGCTTTGACAAATTAAATAATGTCTAAGGTTTTTAAGTTTAAGGTTTGTAAGTACTGTCTTATTTTCAAAAGAACATCTTACCATATAAACATGGTTTCTGTCTTGTTTTGTCACTGATGTCCTTGCCAAACAGATTTCAAAAGCAAAACACAGGGATATAATTCAGTATCTGTCTCTCTCTCCCCCTGTCTAGATTATCAGCGTCTGATGACGGTGGCAGAGGGAATCACAACGCTGCTGTTCCCGTTTCAGTGGCAGCATGTGTACGTCCCCATCCTTCCTGCCTCTCTCCTGCATTTTCTGGATGCTCCTGTTCCCTACCTGATGGGGCTGCAGTCTAAGGAGGGAACTGACCGCTCCAAGCTGGAGCTGCCTCAGGAGGTCAGTCTCTGTCTTTGGGGTTGCTATCCTGAAGCGTGTTATTAATATGTGTGAATTCCTGCTGGAAAATGCCGTGCCTGGTGTTAGGAGGCCTCTCTGGCGTTGTGGAGACTTTTTGTCAGCAGGATTGAGATAGTAGGGGGATTCTCTGCAGCCCTTCCTGGTCCATTTCTGAATTTAATGAGTACCACTGGTTGTCTTGACTTCTGCTTTTTGCTGTGATGCTGAAAGTTTCTCTGCTTTCCCTGCATCACATGCTCCCCCAGGTTCTGTTACTCTGTCAGTGTCACAGTCCTATTGACAGAGGGCTAAAGAGCATTTCATTCGGGGATGATCTTTATGGATCTGGATCTCAGGTGCAGTTGCTAGATGGTGTAAACCTGTCCCCCTGCTGCTGCTGCTACAAAGCATGCCCTGTCCTGCCAACCTCGTCCTATCCATTGTGAGCCCGTGTGTTCATGGCTGGGTTGAGGTCTATTACTAGACCAGCATGCTGGCTTCAAACAAGCCAGATTTGCATTGATACTGTGCCTGTGAACCACTTAGAGAGGAAAAAAAAGGAAGGAGAGGCCATCTTCCTCATTTGGGTGTTAAAATCCTAGGTGATGGTAGTGAGTAAAATGGATATTTTTCTCCTTGAAATTTGACCAGGATGGTGAAAACTGCTTCACATTCTAATTTGGTTATACAGCAAAGTCTTTGGGATGTGGCTAACCTGTCTGCATTCCAGATGGTGACTGGAAGCAGAGCAAACCATGCTTTTTAACTTGGGTTTCTTCTTAAAATCGGTGGGAACACCAAAAATAACTGTTCATATGGCAGTATGACAGTGGCAGAGCTGAGCTCAGCTATGTGCAGAGACCTCTCCTGGGAGCAGAGTCCCTAAGGCTTGCAAATATGTCCTCTTACTTAGAAGGCAGGTTGGAAGCAGCAACCGAGGAGAATATGCTGGAGAGAGAGTTTGTATGTGGAAGTGGAGGGATACACACAGGATAAGGATAATACGTTTTTTTAAAAAGGTCTGTTTCAAATATTACATGGAGGGGACTGAGTCTTAGCCTCAGTGGCATGTAACTGCAAATCAATTTTTACCTCATGGGTGCAATCACCAAAGCACATGAAGTTTGCATTGATGAGGAAATGGAGCTGGTATCTAGCTACGCTCCTCGGTAAAATCATGCTAATATTATATAATTACTGTGATTTTAAAAATTATTAGTCACATGCTTTTAGTTGGTGGATTAAGCTGTCATTTTCCTTAAATTAAAGTTTTAATGTGACAGGCTTGAAGTATCGCTGGAATAACAAATTAAGTATCACCAGGGAGAGAAGAGCAATAGTGGGGCAGAATCTGCCCCCCACCCCTGATGTTTAACAAATGAGTGAAAAAATCAGCATTTATGAACACCACAGGTCCAGTAACTATGGGAGAGGGAAAGAAAGAAGGCATAATGAACAGACAAGATCTTAATCTCAAATTCCTGTAGACGGTAAAAAACCGAAAAATCCTTCAGCATGCGAGCAGTGGTGAAGTGCTGTTCGCTTTAGCACTGCTTTGTTGTTCAGGCCAGGGGCTAGCTTTTCAAGCTCTTGCTCTAAATATAAACCATTTGTTTGTTAGAGATAAAAATTCTAACAACTGGCCATCATGCTGTCTTAAGGTTACTAATCTCTCTGCTTTAACTTTAATCATCAGATGTTTTTGAAGAGAGAAGTGCGACCAATTCCCCCGGGGTTTTCTGAATCCAAATCTCATTTTTCAAATTTTGTAAATGATATGCAGAGCTGAAATTAAAAAGCCTTTGAAATGAAATATTGATAGATAAGAAGGCAGTCCCTGAGCTAAAGAACCGTACTGATGCATACCACAACTCTTTAATAGCTGCATAGTTAAATAAAGCAAATCATTTTGTAAGAAGAAATGCTTTTCTTTGTACAGACTGAATTTAATATGAAAAAGGGAGCTGAAGGGACACTTCTGCTTCACCAAATGAATCCTAATACCCTTTAAAATATCTATGTGAAAGGTGATTAATGTCAAACATGTCCCTGAAATATCCGATATATTATAAACATGTTTACTGTGGAATGTCTTGTTCTGCTGAAAATTAACCTTTTCAGAAAAGGAGGAAAACAAGTCATTTCTGTTCACATAATCTGAAGATTAGTCTACAGTGTTTGCTAAGAAGTAAAGAACAGTCAAAGTGCCTTGGAGAAGGCGGAGGAGCTGTGCTAGTGGTCAAATCAAGCTAACAAAGACCTGCTGCTGCTGTCCTGTGGGTTTCTGCATCTCCCATTCTGCAGCTTTATGCCAGGGTGAAACCTGTCAATGCTCAGCAGCTTGGGAATCTGACCTGGTTTAAGATTTTACTCAGCACAGTGCGCTCAGACAGCGAATTTCAGATGTAAGCCTCAGTTCAGAAGATCAATTACTGTTTTTCATTCTGCTATTATTCCTGAGGGTGCATTTGCCATGTAATTAATTTTTATATGGGGTTCTTCCATCCCTCCATTGACATTTTCCTAGTAAAAGTATCTGCTCTGCTAGATTAATGTCTTCACTTAACTTTAATCTTACCGGCTGAGATCCATCTCCATTCATAGCAAAGCTAAAAGCACTCTCTTTAAATCTCAGGCAGAGGAATTGCCAAGATTAAAAGCCTCCATGGAAACAGGGGGTCAGGGGAGTGGGGAAATAGGGCACTATTTCCAGTGGACAGGCTGTACTCAGACATGATCCCAAAGGATTTACATGGGACCCTCTTCTGTAATTTGTTCCTAGCAATGTCATCTTTCTCACTGAACATCTCGTTCCTCGGTAGCACAGGTACAGAGGCTTCTTGCAATTGGATCATGGTAAAATAAATGGGCCCATGAGGTGCAGTAATTCACACAGAGGGTATTTACAGGGGCTGAGAATTTTATTTTACCCTACTTGCTGCTGTGTCCTTGGTTGGTCTGGGAGGGCTTATCAAATCTTTGTAGTGCAAAGTTTGGGATCTGTAAGTCGTGATGTTACAGGAGAGGGCAGGAGACTTTATTTATTCATTAAGTCATTGTCATCCAGTTGGCCCTGAGCTTGACTGAAGTCTGAAATGTCACAGGCTAGACAACACAGCTAAAGTCTCCTCTGTGTGTGAGCACTTACCCTTCTATCTTGAAGCACGCTGGGAAAATAAGGCTGCATCACAGAGAAGCCAATTCAAGTGTCCATTTTGAAATTTTTCTTTGTATTTCAGGCAAACTTGTGCTTTGTGGACATCGATAACCATTTTATCGAACTGCCAGAGGAATTCCCCCAGTTCCCCAACAAGCTGGAGTTCATCCAGGAAATCTCTGAGGTCCTCCTACAGTTTGGGATCCCCCCGGAGGGCAACCTACACTGCAGTGACAGCGCCACCAAACTCAAGAACTTGGTTCTTAGCGACTTGGTGAACGACAAGAAGAACGGGAACATCCCCAGCAACGCCCTCAACATGTACGAGCTGCTGAAGGGCAACGAGACGATCGCCCGCCTGCAGGCCCTCGCCAAAAGAACGGGTGTGACGATGGAAAAAATCACAACTCCCCTCACAGAGAAGGAGAAGGATGGCAAGTTGTCATGCGAGGAGCTGGAGCTGAGGGACTACAAACTGAACGTGCAGCTTCGCGAGGTTTTCGCCAACCGCTTCACGCAGATGTTTGCAGACTACGAGGCTTTTGTCATCCAGGCTGCCCCCGACATGGAGTCGTGGCTGACAAACAGGGAACAAATGCAAAACTTTGACAAAGTAAAGATAGCCGTGTATTCGTTTTTCCACCTAAAAGTGCTTTTGAGGGGGAGGGAGCATAGCTGTGTTATGTATACACAGCCTGGGCACTCTTTAATCTGCCGTTCTTCCTCTGCCTCACCGGGAGATTTGTCCATTCTCATTACACAGGCCCACATCACCTGCCAAAGCACATCAGTGCACATCCATGGAGCCGGTCAGAGCTGTCCCAGCTGGCACAAACCAAGCTGGCAGGCTTCTGCCTGCTGATGGGGCTACTCCTCTGGCTTTGGTGGAAGGGTAGCAATGCAAAGTGACTATTTTTTCTGTCTGTCTTTTTTTTTTTTTTTTTTTGAGAGGACAGATGCACACATGAGACAAAAACCAAATCCAGCCTTTCATGTTACCTAAACTCACAGTAGAGGTTGTTGGTAATGGGTAGTGTTGTTCTGAAGGTCATCACTTTGGTGTGGCACAAGAGTACTGTTATGACTCCATTACAGTGTGTATAGAAGAGTGAAAAGGAAGCTGAGATTAGAAATGGAGAAATAGAGACAGCAGGCTAGCAAAAGGAATGAGAAATGTTGGGAAGCTCACACAGTTGCTCTTTCTTAGGGACTGCAAAGTAGATAGGGCTTTTAGCCATCAGCTTTTTCAGATACAAGTCCTTCTCTAAGGAGAATGTTAGAAGGGTAAGCAATGAGGAACAGGCTATATACTGATCTGAGTCAGTTTTTGATAAAAAAACCTGCTGCCTTGCCTTTTATTGGTTTGTTTGTATTCAGGCATTAAACAGTGCAGCATCCAAAAGAAGGGGGAAATTTAGGCAATCTCTGCTAGTACTTCTACAATAAAATGGGCTGTTAATTTTAGGGTTTTCAAAGCTCAGTTAGAGATGTAGGCACACAGTCAGTTCTAATTGGAAATTCGTGATTAATTGCCCTGTGTAACATCACAAAAGAGCATTAGCTGAAAGGCACTTGTGCATCCCTTGATATGTATGACACCTTAATATGGGATATGATCCCAAGCTGGAATGCCCAGACCAGAGGTCCCAAGTGGGCACACATGGTGGTGTTCTGGCATGTGTTGCACAGGGCTTGTTCCTGTGAGTGATAGCTGCTAGGTTGCTTTGCAAAAGCTGGCAGCGTGAGCATTTCTTCAGTAACTCCATTTCCCCTTTGCTCCAGCTGTTAGGAAGCCTCCCTGACTGCTTATTTCTCACTGTTGTGACCAAAGAGGTGACCTGTGAACCAAACCCCTTTAGTAGATGGAGTCAGAACCTATCTGAGAGGTGGTTTTATGGTGGGAAAGCCTTGCCCAAGCCTTCCTGCTGGCTGCTGGATCGGTTTGCTACTGCAGGATGACTCGTCATGTCAGCGCTGGGTGGGAACATGGCACTAACCAGCTGTTCTGTATTTCAGGCTTCCTTCCTTTCGGACCAACCTGAGCCTTACCTCCCATTCCTTTCACACTTCATCGAAACACAGATGTTTGCAACCTTCATAGATAATAAGATAATCTCCCAGTGGGAAGAGAAGGACCCTTTCCTACGAGTTTTTGACTCCCGAATTGAGAAAATAAAGCTGTATAATGTAAGGGCCCCTGCACTGAGGACATCCAACTATCAGAAATGCAGCACTTTGAAGGAAGCAGGTACGTCCAGACGGGATAGTAAGATATTCAAAAGTACAATGTTAGCCACAAAGAAATATAGGTCCTCAGTCACTTGAGCATTGCAGTCAATGAGGAAGCTCTAGAGCTACCTGAGGAGGGCTCAGCAGTGCCGTTATCTTCCCTAAGCAAAAACTTCAGCATGCTTTTGAACACCAGCAACAGCGTGAGCCTTTACGTTCCCTTTGAGCTCACCTGGGCTGGTGCCATTAATAAACACAACCCAAACCATGGCACTGGGCTCAGGGTTTCTCATTTCAGGCAGCTCCTGTTCTGTTGCCAGGAGAGCTTTCCTTCGCCGTGGTGGTGGGACCAGTGCCAGCCACGCCAAGGAGTCGAGCGCCAGTGCCTGCTCCACTGGCCTTGTCTACCCCTTCCCATAAAAAGACCTTGTTTTACCTTATGCCATTTGGTTAGAGCAGCAGGGGGTGCTGGGGATGTAATCCTCTGTGGCATATTTAGTACCTTCAGCAGTAGAGTTCACTGTTAACGAACAATAACACTGTGTACTGAAGGCTTAGATTATTTTCCATTACAGTCACAGGATGCATTTTCAAATTATACTGGAGTTACTTACTCAGTACATGTACAAGTATTTATTTCATTTCTAAGTAATACAGGGAAATTATATTCTTAAATTTGTTGGGATATATATTAATAAACTGAGGAAAACACATTTCTCATGGGGTTCTTTTGTTTAACTCCTTCAGAATGTTTTACATGTTATAAAAATGGCAGAAATAGAAATCTCTGTGTGCTTAACTTTTTCTGTCTAAACCCAATTCTAATTTGCAGGTCAACTGTCTATTCAGCGTCTAGTTTTGGCAGATATTGTGGCACCAGAACCTCATTTTCTATCTTGTGAAAAGCAGCAACCTGATAGTAATACCAACTTTCCTTCATATTTACCATTCACAATATATATCACCTCAGCACTGATCCAGCACCTGTTTGTTTAACCTGCTGTTTTCAGAACCCTTCAAACCCTCTGACCCCACACTACCCACTCCTTTTCTCCAAAATGGAATCATACAAAGTGATTTTTATTTTTATTTTTTTTAAAGGGGAAAAAAACCCTGCCAAGTTTCTAATGATAATGTATGTAAATCTTATGACAGTTTCTTTCCCATCACAGTTTTATAAACTAGGAAATGAGTTCTGTGTTGTTCTTGAAAAATGGAAAAGGGGTTTAGCTTCCACATTTTGCATATTTATTCACTAGTTGTGATAAGCCAAAAGAACAGGCCTACCCATTAATGGGTGAGCTATAAAGAGTTGAATATTAAAGTTGCTAATTAAATGTTCAATTCCCTCATACACCCCAATCCTTCACAAGTTCATCTGACTCAGTGTTGAGAGGGTGACAGGTTTTATTTTCATCCTGCTCAAGATTTGAGATTGAAACCCTCGTTTCCTTGAAGCAAACAACTGAGCATTAGTCTCAGCAGAGCCAGGATTCCCAGGGAGTCCTCTTTCCATAGCCTCCTCTGTTTCCAAGCATCTGTTCATCTTGTTGATGCTGCTCAGGCCCTGCTACAGTTGGCTATGGTTTTTTGACGGCCTGTCACCCAGTAATGGCATATCTGATTTCAGGAGGAGGATCATTGTAGGTGCCAGATGTTTGCAAAACTCAGGTTTCCTCCCGCCATGCATCTGCCCAGGGAGATGTGTCTGGGCAAAGCGAGGTGCCTGGTCCCACAGAGAGTTGCAGCTGGCCTCAGAGGTCTCCGTTCTGCTGAAGGAGCCTTGAAACCAAGCAAGGAATTGCAGGGAATGGTTACACTGCACTTGCCAATTCATAATGCATCCCAGAGGCTCCTGTAAATACCTGCTTACTTAACAGCTAACCTGCTTGTGCCAGCGCTAGTTGTGTTGGGTAAAGAAACTAAAAGCAAAATTAAAAAAAACCCCAAGTGTCTCCTCACTTCTGTAAGCGACAGATTTCCGTGTCTGAAGTCACTATTTAACTGTTTCAGCGGGTCTTCAGGGATGTGAGCATGACCCCTCCTGTTGTGGCAGCGCGTGCCCTCAGGTGGTTCTCTAGTGCAGTTTTCACCTGTGACTGTAACTTGCAGCCCAGTCCATCGAGCAGAGGCTGATGAAGATCGACCACACAGCAATCCACCCGCACTTACTCGACATGAAGATCGGCCAAGGGAAGTACGAACAAGGATTTTTCCCAAAGTTGCAGTCGGATGTCTTGGCAACGGGACCCACCAATAACAAGTAAGCACAGGTTTTGTTTTCTGTGTTTAAAAGCACATTTCTTGTACAATAGGTTCAACATTTGAACAGAAGTCCTAATTTTGGATGGCATATTTCCAGTTTATTGAACCCAGCAACTCTTTCCATTTCTGGTTTGCATGGGCTATTATTTTTGAAGTTATAACTATAATTTGGGTTATGTTAGGAAGTGTCAGCTCTGGTTTGGGGAAGACTCCTCAGAACTGTTTTCTGTTAAGTGGTAAGTACTCTCTCTTCTCATATATATTTTTAGCTTTACCATTGCTCTTATGAATTTAAAAGTAATTTCTTTGCTGGTTTGCACTGAGTAGGATAATTTTGAAACCCAAGCCAAAATTCAGATTCTGAAAGAAATTTTGGCACTGAAACCTTCACACCATCATGCAGAATGAAATTAATGCCCTCTCTGTTCCTCTCTTTTCTTTAACTGTTATGACATGACCCAGAGATTTTTGTAGCTCTCTTTTAGTTTCCTCATTGGAATACCCTGGAAGAATAACTTGGTGAAGGTAGAAGGGATGTGGTTCTGTTCCTGGGTTTCTCTTTTAAGTCTGATAAGGTTCTGTGGTGCCCTTTGATATTAAGGTAGGGGTACCTATAGCTATGTAATTGAGCGTGCCAGTACATAGTTAATGTACCTAATGTAAAATGACAACCTGGAATACTGATACACTTTACATTTGTACAGTTATAATACAAAGTAAGTGCTGTGAGTTTTTTTAATCTTTCTTCCTTCAAACACTCCCCCAAGGGGGTTTCTCCCTCTTCAAAAATGAAATATTTGTGTACCAGTGATCACAAATTCATTAAATTATTCGCTCAAGCTCTCACTTCCAGTTTCTGTGGTAAGTCAAAGTGTGAGAGCACAGATAAATCCAAAAGCCTCAAAAGCTACAATTGTCCAAATGTTAAAGCAAGTTCTTGTTTGAGATATGTGCATGCACACAAGGTACTCTGAGCTGCTGTATGAAGTTCCCACTCATTTCTATTTATACACCTTTTGTGCACCCCAGTGCTATCTAATCCCTTTTTAATAACCTGCTGGGAAAAAGATTTGCAAATGGTACCCTTTAGGATTTGATGTTTAAAGAATTGCAATTCTTTAACAGAAATTTAAAAAAAAAAAAGGAGAAAAAGAGCTACATGTATTTCAAAGGTCCTTTGTTTGCAGTCATCCTCCAAATGGAGACAAAAGTTTATGGGTAATGGTCCCTTGAGGAATGGAGGATTTCTTCATCTTGTGGGATGCTGTATTTAGCAGTCTGCCTCTTATCCTTATAATGTTTCAGTTTTACAGTGTCAGTAACAGTGTGAGTGTGCCCAGCCTGCTCGAAGTTGTTATATCTTCTGGCTCTATTGCAGCATCTTATCTATGAATAAGCATCAAATTAAAAATAGTTTTCCTATGTCTTTTGAGATGCTTCTGTTAGATTGGTACCTACTCTAAAATGTGACTCTAACTCCTCGAGTGATAATTTTGATTTAGATTGCAGCATGTTTCAGAATTTGTAAGTACAAAACTCCCATTACTTATCGCAAAGTGATGTCAAAATGACAAATGTTTGAAAGTCCTCCAGTTGTATATTGCCAAAAAGGTTTGTAATTGAAAAATCTCAAGACCATCTGTTTATATCTTTCTGCTTCCTGATTTTCATGTGAGCAGCTGAGAGGACGTTCTCTCCCTTTTCAGATGTGTAATTCTGCTGAATTTACACCCATGCATAAAACAGATAGCTTTTTCATGCTCCTTGCAAATACAGGGAGTCTTTTGACCACAAAGCATGAGTCTTTTGACCACAAAATCAACTGAAGTATAGTCTTCCATTAATTTGAATTTCCCAGTGTATAATTCTCGGAGATACGTTTTATTTGCTTGTAGGACTGGACCTTTGCATGTGGGTGCGGGGTAAGAGAACATTTCAGCTGCATTCCCAGACACTTCAGATGTAGCTATTGTGTGTTTATATTATCAAGTTAATGCAAAGGATATTGTTATGTCAATGAGAATTATTTTTGCAGGCAGCTTCAGTTTAGTATAGCAAATTTTGTCCTGAATATTGTAAGGAAGTGTATTTGGAGGGGGAAAAAAAAATCCATTCCCGTGTTTCAGTCAGTTGTTGCTGAACAGTAGCAAATAAACCAATTCAAAGCTGTTTTGCTGAAAAGCTCAGCTCAGTGGCCAGCAATCAGGTACTTATTGCTTCCCTGTCTGGGCTGATAAACTGACTAGAGCTCATAATGTTCCTGTAACCAGGCAGAGCACTAAAGATACGTCTGTCAGTCGCTGGGCTGTTATATATGTAATATGTTACTTCAAAATCACAGATAAAATGCAAACAACAAACACTTTTAGTTTCAGTTCTAGATCCTGTATTTAATCCCAGAAAACCACGTTGCCTAGGTGGGCAGAAATTGTGTTTGGGAGGTGTCTGGCACTTACTTGCTGGGGGCTTGGAGGGCAGGGCTTGGGCACAGAGGTGGGGTCGACAGGCACATAGGATTATTTAGGATTATAGAATCATTTAGGTTGGAAAAGGCCCTGAAGATCATAGAGTCCAACAGTAAACCTGCCACTGCTAAGATCACAGTTTGAACCTGAGCCCTAGCCAGACTGGGATTAAGGTTTGTTTCAGTACAAACCTGACAGGGATGGTGGAACTGAGAGTAAGAACTCCATGGGAGCAGAAGGCAGGCCTTTAAAGGTTCCTTAGGGACAACATTAGGCATGGGGATCCTGAACCTATCTAAACAATGAGGGCTTAAAAAGGGAAGCTTCCTGCATGGATAAATGATAAAAAAGAGAGAATCAGAGTAAATAGTCAGTTTTGATGCTGGAGGGTTGATCACATTAGGATGTGTAAGTGTTAAAGAAGTCTGTCAATCAAAGGAAGTCCACTGATGTTTCATCTATCAGCCCACGACCGTGCTTAGCAGCGTGCTTTGCCCCACTTCTGTCACTCAGCTGCCTCCTCCTGCTTCCCCTTTACAGGTGTCCTTTAAAGGACTGGACAAGGGGATGAACCTGTGCTCTCTGGCCCCAGCCAGCATCAGGCTCTTGCTGCTTTCTCTCACCTGCTTGGTCATTTCTGGATCAGGAGAGCATCTGTTCTTACACTTGCTCCTGTTCTTACCAGCTGTTAGGGTGTAGGTACCTACCCAGTGTCATTTAGGGCTGGTGTTCACCTCTTCCCCTGTGGTGGTGTGTGGAAATGTTGACTTGCTCAGCTAAAGAAGAACTTCAGTGAAAAAAGCTTCCAAACTTCAGTTTACTGAAAAGAAATGAAAAGTTTAAAGGTAAGCAAATAATTTAAAAAAAAAAACAAAACAATAATCAAAACCACTAAAACCCACAAACAAACAAACAAAACACTCCACCCCAGCCCCCTAGCTCCATAAAACTGGAGAACAGGGTCCCAGGTATATGATTAGTTTCCCTAATCATCTTTTTGATCAAGACCACAGAACATGGATAGCTGCAGAATATGCTGATCTAAACTTAAATGAAAGATGATTACTGTTGTATCCAAATTTTTTCTATAACTTAAAGGAATATTACTTTTCTGTAAAGAAAACAGCAATTCATCCCAGCTAGCAGCAACTGAACAAAAATCACCTCACCCAATTCTGTTCTCTTTCCCATCAGGCGGTGTCCCACTTGAGGGACTCCCTCTGCTCTCATTGCCTTTGATACATCCCCCACGTCATGGGAAAACCTTCTGAATCTGCAGAGAGCAGCTGCAGCTTCCTCTGGGTACAAAAGCATCCCCCATCATGCTGCTCTAACCTTGTAAAGCAGTGGCTTCTGCAGAAGTCCTCCTAGAAAGCGTCCCAGGAGAAAACAGGCTGCAGTCCCTTAGGCAATTTGTCTGTTATTCTGGAAAAGAGCTGTGGTTTCCAGAGTCCTCATTTCCTTTCTCAAACCTCAGCACCACACTGTGGTTTCTACATGTTCCCTTCTTCCTCTTCTGTGTGCGTTTTCTGCCAGGCTTTTAAAATTGTAGCTGGGGCTCTACTGACTGATGCATTTGCAATGATCCAGGAGTGGAATTTGAATGACAAAAAACCAAGCTACATAAACACTTCATGGTTTCTGATTAGCTAATTGTTAAATTAGGGGGAATATGCTTACAGTGCAAAATTAAAACAATGAAACAAGCTGTGTTTTCAACCTAATTGATTACCTTGTAACTTAATTTGTACTAAGAAGCTTGATAAATGAGATTAAATATTGCAGAGGAAAACATTGATTGTGCACAAAGCATGGGAATATATTTGCATTCTGGTGATTTGAAGTGAATGCCTGCAAAGAACAACTGAGCTGATTTTTTTCTTATAGCTTTTGGTTTTCAAATGAAGGTTTTGCTTTGTTACACATTTACAAAATGGCTTAAACTACCCTCTTTTGCTTTCCTTTCTCTTTAGGTCTTTTTTCTCTTGTCTTCATTATCTGAGCCCTGCTTTCCTCCTTGCTTACTTCCCTGACCAGCCTGTTTCCTCTTCCTACCCTGGCCATTTCTCTCTCCTGAGTCCTCTCCCTTATATCCCAGCTTTGTCTGTCCTCTGTGTCCTGCCTGACTTGCAGCAATCCCCAAAGGAGGGCACAGTCTGAGTCTTCAAGCACAAATCCTGCTATACTTGGCCCCCTAACCTCAGGCTTTAGCTGAGTGATGAGTTGCTCTTGCCCATGAAGCAGATTTCAAAATTCTTTGCTTTCTCCAGGCATTTGTTCCTGATCTGTATTTTGCTGATCTCACCACTGTGTGTGTCAGTATTTATTTGTAAAAATCATGCACTAGGAGTGTATGAAGTTGGTTCTTTTTTGTGCTCCAGTTTATGGCACAACTTGTGTGGACACTGTCCTGTGGCCTCCACCATCAGCCCCCTCCTCCAGCTGGGAACTGTCCAGGGCTGCCTGGTGCTCTGGTTCTCCTCATTTTTAAATAGGAGTGCTGCTTGCTTGTTACTAACATTTAACATCAGTT